AAAAAAAAAAAAAAAAAAAAAAAAAAAAAAAAAAAAAAAAAACCCAATTAAATTGTGTATCTCTTTTAAATGACATTATATGTAATATTAATTTTTTGAGTCAAAAAAATAATAATAATAACTGTTATTTACTTTTTAAGAAAGTTATTTATAATTTTTCATAAACGCGTGCTTCCACTTGATAAAAGTAAGCTACTTTGGCTTCATATAAACTGATAAATTGATAATAGCTGCTGTTGAACCATTTGTTCATTTTGGTGATGTGACAGATCACTGAATTTTTTTTATGAAAAAAATGGTATACAGCTCAACTCCAACTCTAAATAAGAAGTGGGAAAAAAATAGAAATATATAAGTAACTGATCGATGTAAGTGGAAAAAAAAATTAATAATAAAGATACAGTCACTCTAAATAAAAAGGTGTTTATAATATAGAAATATTCGTCGATTACTTTTCATAAGAAAACAAAATAGTTGACATTCTAATACTATTTGATATCTACAAACAAAAGTAGAAATAAGATGAATGATATAATAAAGAAATATTTATGAGTCATTCTTTTATTTTTTACAAGAAAAAAGATTAATATTAGTAAACATTAATACTATTTAATATATAAAAAGAAAAGTAAAAATATGAGAATGATTTATTGTGACAAGAAAGAGACAAAAAAAAATCAGAAGAGAAATAAGGGACGTGTTTATAATATTTTCCTGTATCAACTTTGTTTTCTATATCATGTAAAACCATAAGTGTCAGTTATCAAACAAATAAGAAAGCATTAATGTCGTTTTCTATATTAAGTAAAATGTCCTAGCTTGTTATATGTTACCACAGTATTTGTTCTGTTATTTTTAAAATATTGAAAAATATCGACTAAAATTTAACTAATTTACAAGATATACCATGCGCATTGTTTCTGTTTTTTTCCTGCACCAACTAGTCGTGTAGATTCTTCAATGTTGCATAAGACAAATAATGAAATTATTCTGTCTTTTTCAAGCAACAAAAAGGATATTAATAGTTTTCTTTAATATATACTGAATTTCATCTACAATGAATAGCATTATAAAAGCTAGGTGCTACAAAATACGTTCAAAGATATTTTACATGTAAGTTAGCTCAAAAACATTGTTTTTTTCATTTAGTCGTTCGTAAACTCCAAACATTAAAAAGCTTGTTTAGAATGTTTAAAATTTTGTGATATAATTACTTTTTTATAAAAAGCAAATTAAATAGATGGAAGTACGCGACATGTTCAGTGAGAGATAATCAAAATAATTTGGTTCTAAATATATGTGAGTTATTGAATTTAATTACATATAGTGTAATTTAAATTTTCATCTTATATATAGCTATACTTGTTGTGATATATATCGAAGATCAACATGGATTACTTTTGGCGTCTAATTACTCTTTCCAAGCATAATCTCACCAAAAGAAAAACCTAGAAGAGTCTCATATATCATGATACAAATCTACACAATTGTAACAAAATATAAAATGCACCCATCACCTTACTCCTCAAGCTATTGACCAAGAAAATAGGCAAAATATAATTCTAGAAGTTCATGAAATCAAAGTGACAACATGCTTATTCTAGTAATTGAAGCAATACATTTGGCACATATGGGAATTTTAAATGCTTACTTAGTCAATAGATAATTAAGATTTTGATGATGAGCACTAAAGTCGGTATCGTTGTGGTGTGCAGGTGCAACACAATAGGGCACTCATTATTTAATTATTGACTAAAAATCTTCTTTAAGAAATCTTGCACCTCTTATTTAATTGGATAGATGTTGTTAGTATATTATATATCACGGGCATTGAAAAAATCTAAAATTTGTTTTGGAAGAATGAAAGAGGGTGAGAAACAAACGGTGCAGAATGAAACTTAGAATAAAATAATTAGGGGAAAATGGAAGATAAAATAAGGCCAATTTGCAAAAGCTGGCTCCATGAAGAAGACAGCAGAATCAAATCAACGGCTAAAATCGTGCTATTTAGATGACATTCAACGGTCCAGAATTGTGTTCCAAGGCATGATTTCATTTTCAATTTTCCTTTCTTTGATAATCACCTCAATGGTCTCAAGGGTAGAGATTCTCACGTACTTTTGTCGTACTCGTAGGAATATGATGGATTAGTTGAATATGATGTGCTGATAATATATTAAAATTCTGCATGTCTATTCTTTCATATGTTGTTTGGGAAGCGGCTTCAGCATAGGAATATATAAATATAAATCATGATGCAGAAAATATGAACAAACATGATCAAATAAGTGGTAAAGACTAAAAGACCATCCTCAAATGAAAAATAAAATACTATATAAAAAGTAGTAAAGCTACACTTTAATTTGTCAAGGTGTAATTGTTGATTATTTTAATTTTAAAATAGTACACGTATTACTTGGCTTTTAATTTTGTTATATTATTGTGACATGAATAATGGTCCCCTGTGACGAGTTTTGCAAATAATTTTTAAGTTATATTTTCATGTGAATTGTCATTTAAGCTCAAACAGAGCCTACATGATTTTATAAATCTTTTAAAAGCAATTACAATAATAGAATTACTTTGTTTTTCAACTAATCAATAAAATTTATACTTATGACACTTTCAACAACTTATTATTAAAAAATATTATTCTAATATTTGAATTTAAAGTTCTTCTAAAATATATTAACCTGGTAAATTTTTTTAAATATAAAGATGATTTGATTCTTATTATTTAAAACACAAATAAGTAGTGCGTATAGAAAAATATATTTAAGAAAAAGTCAACCTCTTAATTCTCGAAAAACCAATCTTTAAATTTCGGTTAAAAGATACTTGTCTTATAAAAAAAATACATAAATAAGTAGCTCATGTAAAATAATATATATATATATATATATATAGTGTTTTAGGTGGATTATATATGGAATATTGCATTGTACATTGGTTTTACTGAATTTTAGGTGAAGAAGAGGTTGATTTGTGTTCTACATTAGTGTAAAACTCACGTCGCATTGGATATGCCTAAATGATGCCAGACAAGTTCCAACCAAAGGCCTATGTCTCGATTTACATTGGGTGAAGGTTTGCTCAGGTCGAGCGTGAGAAGGAAAACTTGTCTCAGGTTGAAATGTTGTCAAGCATGATTTGAATAACATCGGGCGCGAAAGCGTTGAATGATTTCTAACTTGGTGACGTTTGACCCTTGGTTGAGTGACGCTCTAACGTGGCCAAGCCAGAACTGTTTGCCAAGATGACGTTAGGCACCAGGTATGAGTTAGACAGACTCTTTGCCTTAAATGAGGCCAAGTGTAGGACTTTGTCACGCCAACTTGAGGTCCTAGGGACCTCTACCTTATCCATGTTGAGCACGATTTGTATAACATTAGGTGTGGACGAGACAGAGTTCCCTACCTCGATGGCGAGCGTAAAGTGTGTGACGACGCTGGTTGCTTGAAGAAAACTAGTTGTTTAATTTCACAATTTGTGGACATAAGGAGAGTAGATTAATCTATGAATGTCTAGAGTTGCTATGTGTTGTTTATTCTATATGCATTAATATAGGATGATATCTAAAGGTGATTGATGGTTGAAAGTTGGATGTTAAGTTGAGTGTATGTTGCGTAACTGTGTTGAATATGCTTTATGCATCTTGTTATTATGTTGTTTAGATGATGAATGTTGAGAATGTTTTAGACATGGTGTTGAAAATTGTGTTAATTAGCCTATGATTAGAGGAGAGATTGTTTTTAAAGTTACATATCTCATTATGTGGATATTGTGTTATGGTGCTCTAAAAGTCTAATTTTTTGAAAACCCTTCTTTGGAAGTTGATCCTTGAAGAGGATAATTGAGTTCCTTTAAGGCCTTATTTGGTACCTTATGTGGTCAAGGTCGAGACATACATGTATAAAACGACCGTAGTATAAGGGACAGATAGAGCTATACTAATTACAAGTGACCAATTTGGGTAAAGTATGAAGTCGCGGGAACTTAGTTCCTAACTAAGTATTGAAAGGGCATAGTATTTGCAGGGTAGTTGTGGGCTAATCTCATAGGAGGTTTAATTAAGTTAGCTAATATCATAGTAGATTCATACTCAAACTGTTTTACCTTAACAAAGATACTAAACTTTCTAATTTAAGTTGCGATATTCTAGAAACCAAGTCGTATTGTGGATTTATATCCAAATTTGTTATTGATCTAACAAGCACAAAAAAATCACCCTATGTTGTTGGTTCAATAGGGTTAAGTCATTTAAACTATTCACCTATGTTATAAGAGATATCTTAGTTAAAATGCATGATGACGCAGATAATTGTTATGTTGTGCATCTAATGTGTTGATTAAATTAAGTTGTTGTTATGTTGTGCATCTAATGTGTTGATTAAATTAAGTTGTTTATATGTGGTGTTGACTTGTGATGAAATATGTAGATTGTGTTGAAATATGAGTTGTTGATGGTGTGTTGTCTAATTGACATTGTCTTGTAGTAGGTTCAGTTGTTTATGATGATAATGATGAATGCGTTGTGGTGTTGATGTTGTTTAAATATGAGATGTGATGATGACCTTATTGTTCATATTTCTTTTGTTGTATATGTTGATTTCTATGGACTTTAACTTACCTTTGTGTGTTTCAATGTAGTTGGACTACGATAATCATATTTGGTATGGAAGCAAAATAAGGATAAATATGAGGTGTTGTGCAATGGAGGCCATCTGGAATATGGTGAAGTGTTATCTTTTGATATTATAATTTCAATAATATGAAAGTATGAGGTGTTCTGCAATGGAGGCCATCTGACAAATGGTGAGCTCTTAGTTTGAACTTCAATTACATTCAATAATTTTTATACAAATGAATAATTTTATGAGTCAATTTAGTCTTGAATTAGTTAAAAAAAAGATTTAAAAGGACTTGATTATTCTAAATTTAAAATATAAATGATCCAATCATCACAGTGCGTGGAGTACTTATTTTACGTTCTTCAGGGCTCATCTCCTATTACAATTTAGTTATAACGACTATCTTAAGCACAGAGCATAATTTTGTATAATGCTGGGGCCTTTTACAAAATACAGTGGGGACAGTATATTAGTATCTCCTAGATGAAAGTAGATGAATACTAATATGAGACATGTATTTTGCTAAATATTACTGTGACAAAATAAAATGTTGAAGTTGCAGCTTGAGTACGAGGATAAGGACACAGATGTTCATGAAACAGCAGGCTATTTCTCATACCTTTAGCTTCTTGTATCTATAAATCACACCAAGAATGTTTAGTAGCTGCCTCTTGTATTCATGGATACGCTTGACTTGAATGTCAAACAGACTATCTGGGTCAATGCTCTCCCCTGTCACCTGCAAAACATACCGTGCCAAACGCTGTTTGCTAGCCATCTTTGCAGACAGCCATTCTGCTTGCAGATCTTCATTGTCAGCAAACTATGGAAAAAGCACCAGGAATTTACTGTTAGAATACTGCAGTAGTAGGAATCAGTTAGCTGCAGAGAAGAAGCATCTGGGTACCTACCTGTCGAAGACCTGTTAACAAGTCAAGATTGGTTACCCATTTATCAGTTTTTAACCATTTGGTGATTATCCCACTTAGCTCAGGATTACAAAATTGGATCCATCTTCGAGGTGTAATCCCATTGGTTTTATTTTGGAACTTTGTTGGCCATATCGAAACATAATTTGCAAATAATTCTGACTTTAATATATCACTGTGTAACTGAGCAACACCATTCACCTACAAAGAGATAGGCACCAATAAATAAATAAAATTCAGCTGAAATCCATTTCACATACATAAACAACAGGGTTGTGGGGAAAAAGAAAATTAATAATTAAAAAAAGGAAAGTTCAACCTTTATTCTAATACCACTATTGGAATACTAGGTGACTTTGGAAAAACAAGTGAACCGTGCATTGCAGTATTAACATCACAAATGTTCTTTTGATGTTAGATTTAATCTTAAAACCAATTAACATTAAGTGAAATTGTCCAAAAGATATATAAACCGCACCCGGAGAATTGAGACAGACAATGTGGGACACCCGGAAAATGTATGTATAATGAAACATGCACTATATCAATTCAATCAAACATATGACTTAAAAAATATAACACTAATCAGCACAACTATATGTTAATCTCTGATTATAATGAAGCGACCCAGTTGCATATTTGGAATATTTTTCTTCAATTTCTAATATTATAATATTATAATTTTTCTTCAATTTCTAATATTATAATGCAATTTATGATATTTACTCATCACTTGCTATTAGGTGCAGACACATGATTAAAAAATCATGAGAAAGAATCAAAGTAAATAGATTATGAACCTTTATAAGGAATATAACTGGTCCTCGTAAGATTCCTGCAAGTTGAAGAATACTATGAAGGAAGCGAAGTTTGTTAGATTGAAAACCAAAGAGCAAAAGGAAATTAAATAATTGGTTTAATTAATTTTATTTTATTTAAAATTAAATATATAACTAATTTAATGTAATTTTGTAAGTTTATCCAATTTGCCCGAACTAAATAACAAAGTTGAAGGTAAATTAATTTTGTTTAACTTTCTAGATAAAGAGCCTTTGTAAGTAGAAAAAATTAGGGTACCAAGGGATACATATATTATCGTGCATATCTGCTTATAATAATACAGGCTAATGGTTCCATACTTCCATCTCAGGGCCCCATATATAATTATCTTGATAATATGATATGATTCGATGAGATTGAATGGATAAAATGTTAAATGTAAAATAAAATATATTAGAGATTATTTTTTAAGTTTGACATCTAATATCAGTTTATCATTTCTTGTACTTGTATATATATAAAAAATATTTCAAAAGTAATATGTTGTTTTAAAAATATTTATGTGATTATTTATCAACTTAAATTAAAAAATAGAATATGAAATAATTTTTAAAATCTTAAAAAATATATAAATTTGATTTATACATTAAAATTTTTTAATTAAATTATTTAATCATTAAAATTTGACATGAATTATTAAATAAAATAAATTTAAATAAAGTTATTTTTGAAATAAATAGATCCTTCTCCCTATCTTTATATATATATATGATTGAATTATTAAATCTATAAAATTTATTTATGCTAAAAATTATTAGTTACATTGTTTTATTAACATCTAATATCATTTTATCTTTTCTTATATCTATATATAAAAAAACTATTTCAAACTGATACGTTGTTTTAAAACGCCAAAAAAAAAGGGCGTTATTGTTGATAAATTTAATATTTAACTAGTAAAAAAGTATTATTCGGCTTTAACTTTGTAAAAATATATTATTTTAATATACTTATTAATACAATAATATATGACGTTTCCTTGACATCCTAGGTTGAAGTTAAAACATGGATTTAGAATTTTATATTAACGAACGGCGAAGGTTATACCATGACGCAAGAAATTCTCAATGCACTAAGCCATCAATGTTGTCTACATGCAACTTCTTTATTCATTTCCTGTCCACATGCAAACTTTTTTTCTTTTTACTTTTCTTTTCTGCCTAGATCGCAAATTTAATCCTTCTTTTTCTTAATTTGTACTATCACTAACAATCAAACATCCCAATCAAACTTTTCCCACAAAAATTATTAAAAAGACATTAGATTGTAATTAGACTACACAACAAGTTGATTATTTTAATTCGATTTATATTAGCTGATCAGTATGAAAATGACTATATATAAAATATGTTTAAATGCACATTCTCGCTTTAGACCGACTACTACAATAAAAAGAGTTTTTAATAATATTTAGAAAAATGTTAAATAATTGTGTATAAATATTATTATTTTACTTTTATAACATATTATTAAATATTACATATAATTCATGATGCTAAAAATAATAATTAAAATGGCATTAAGCAACATTTTTTAAACATTATCAAAGTCATATTTTTGTAACATTTTAATAATATTAATAAGTTTTGATTAATTTTATAAAAATAATAATTAAATTTAATATAAATATTATTATCACTTATATTTTATAACTCTTGATCTTCTACAAATTTTTTAAGATTAAAAACATTTTTAGTTAATTATGATCAAATATATATCAAATATTAAAGTTTATTTATATTAAGTATCATTTTATGTTTATATATATTTTTTATATGTTATTTATTTATTTGACATGGAACTTTAATTTTGAAAAATAATTAAAAATTGAAAAAATATACTCTATATCACATTTTTTACTCAATATAAGATTTTAATTTTATAAATAATTAAAAAAATAATATTAAGATAAAAAAATATTATTTTATTTATAATAATAAATTTTTAGAAAATTAATATTTTATTATTTTATTTATAATAATAAAATTTCAAAAATATTATAAAATAATCTATTTATTTAATTTATAATAATATTTTAATAAATATAAATTGATAAATGCTATTATAGAAGTAAAATATGTTCGGAGTTGAGTATACCACGCACTTTTTATTATTATAGACTAAAACTTATTAAAAAAAATACTAAATTTTGAAAATCGCACTACTTATTTAATAATATTTTCTGATGTTATTATTTTCTAACAAATTTTAATGAATTTTAAAAATGCGTGTCTGAGAGTGAGTGTAATGGTAGCACTCGAGGTATATTCATATATATGACCAAATTTACTGTTGTTGGATCAGAGAGCACATGATTCATCACTGGCTTTATTTTTGAGCCGTCAAAAATGGCAAGGGTGGGGTCAAACATTCTGATGAAGAGCAAAGTTGGGTCACTGTTGTGTGGACCCAAGGCCATGAAAAGCTATGAGTTGGTGAATAGTGATGCTACATCAATTATTACTTTATTAATTAGGTTTGAATGTTCGACAGATAACATTAATTATCCTTAAACATGTAATTAAAAACCCCATCTATAGTGTGTGTATGATGTTGATCAATGATGCTAATCAAATATGTTATCAGTTCTTAACTTTGGGTGTTAGATGATATTTTTTTCCCCTAATAAAGAGACAAAGAATGTAGAAAATGGACAAGAAGGGTTGGGTGACTAGATAAAATCTGGTCACATTCCATCATAGACTCGCAGATAAAACCAGGTTGTCATGTGAATGGCGTTAGCATTGTGTACTACTGTTTGGTGAGCAAAGGTTTTTTGTTACGACAAGGATTCTCATCCTATTGGTTCTAAAAACTACTATTCTTTCTATGATTTTTGTCAAAACAAAGGGATAGATAAGCTCCTTTGACGATTGACTTCCACTGCCAACTTTCCCCCAAAATTCTTGGCGATACCTCAGACTGAAAAAAAGTAGCGTTAATTTTCTTCCTTTAGTTATGAAGGAATAGTCATAAATCATGTGGGAACAGAGAACAGAAAAAGTATTCTACAGCAAAGTTTAAATTTTGGTGTTTAATGGCAATCTGAGGATAGATCCCCTAAGTTAAAGCTTATGGAAAAGAAAGGGGTTAATGATACTATTTGACCCTCTAGATTCTTCTTTTGAGAAACCCCACTGCTCTAGTATAAGACTAGTTATGAGCTTGTAAAAGAAAAACTAGTTGCACTTTTCTTTCCTACATGTTAATCTATACATGGTTATGGTTACTATTCTAATTTTTCGATGATTAAAAGTAATAATAATGTGACTTTTTTTTTTCAATAGAAGTAACACAAAAAATTTGACATATTATTAATTTTTTAGTTACTATATTATTGATGAAAATTATTTACTGATTTAACTGAGTTACAATGATAATATATAAATATGTTTGGGAACCAGTTCAGTTAAACTTAAATGGGTTTTTTTTTTTAAATAAATAAATAAATAAGCAATACTCACAAATTTTTGTCTTCAAAATGTGTGTTTTTTTTTTGTTAAATATAATTTTAAAATGATATGCAAACATTTACAATAAAAAGATCAAACATAAAATTTTGTGTATAATACCATAACTAATTCTTATAGTAATTGAGACTCTATTTAAGAAATATGTTTATAGTTTCAAGATGATCATTGACATATTATTAATTTATCTACACTAATATATATATATATATATATATATATATATATATATGTAAATAAAAATATTTAAATAACTTTGCAAATATTATTATTTTATTTATAATAATAAAATTTCAAAAATATTATAAAATAATCTATTTATTTAATTTATAATAATATTTTAATAAATATAAATTGATAAATGCTATTATAGAAGTAAAATATGTTCGGAGTTGAGTATACCACGCACTTTTTATTATTATAGACTAAAACTTATTAAAAAAAATACTAAATTTTGAAAATCGCACTACTTATTTAATAATATTTTCTGATGTTATTATTTTCTAACAAATTTTAATGAATTTTAAAAATGCGTGTCTGAGAGTGAGTGTAATGGTAGCACTCGAGGTATATTCATATATATGACCAAATTTACTGTTGTTGGATCAGAGAGCACATGATTCATCACTGGCTTTATTTTTGAGCCGTCAAAAATGGCAAGGGTGGGGTCAAACATTCTGATGAAGAGCAAAGTTGGGTCACTGTTGTGTGGACCCAAGGCCATGAAAAGCTATGAGTTGGTGAATAGTGATGCTACATCAATTATTACTTTATTAATTAGGTTTGAATGTTCGACAGATAACATTAATTATCCTTAAACATGTAATTAAAAACCCCATCTATAGTGTGTGTATGATGTTGATCAATGATGCTAATCAAATATGTTATCAGTTCTTAACTTTGGGTGTTAGATGA